TGCTGTGGCTGTTGCTGTTGTGCTTGTTGCTTGTTGCTGCTGCTGCTGTTGTTGCTGCTGTTGTTGTCGTTGTTGTTGAACTCTCATGTGTGAAGAATAACTATTGTTGATCCCCCCACTGGCGCATACTGCTTTTTCAATTGAAGTGCCCATCCCGGCGCTCGCACCTGGTTCTTCATCAGGGAACGTCTTGAAGCTCAAACTGTGCCCCTGGCCCCCGGGTTACAACAACAACAACGGCTCCCGCTTGGGACTCACTTACAATTCAGCCAGGACCCCCGCTCCCGCCTGAGACTTCCTCGCATTGTATTAAGGAATCGCACTCTCGCTTGGGATTTCCTTACAATTTATGCAGGAATCGCTCTCTCGGCGCTCTGGAGTCGCGCTCTCGCTGGAAACGGGTTTGCAATTTACTTAAGAATAGCGCCCTTGCGTTGAAATTTCCTGCAATTTATTCAAACGCCGCGCTCCCGACACTCAGGCGCTCAGGAGTCGCGCTCACGGCTATGATTCCCTCACACATTATCTATGAATCGGGTGCAGCCTTTCGTTGCCCCCTCGCTGCCCTTCGTGGCCCCGTTGCAGCCCCCCGGGGCCCTCTTGCTGCCCTTCGTGGCTCCATTGCAGCCCTTCGTGGCCCCCTCGCTGCCTTTCGTGGCCCCGTTGCAGCCCTTCGTGGCCCCCTCGCTGCGCTTCGTGGCCCCGTTGCAGCCCTTCGTGGCCCCCTTGCTGCCCGTCGTGGCCCCGTTGCAGCCTTTCGTGGCCCCCTCGCTGCCCTTCGTGGCCCCGTTGCAACCCCTCGTGGCCCCCTCGCTGCGTTTCGTGGCCCCGTTGCAGCCCTTCGTGGCCCCCTCGCTGCGCTTCGTGGTCCCGAATCTCCATGCCCTTCGTGGCCCCCGCTCGTCCGCGCCCGTCGTGGCCCCATATGCATGCACTTCGTGGCCCCACTGTCGCCCTTCGTGGCCCCCTCGCTGCCCTTTGTGGCCCCGTTGCTGCCCTCAGTGGCCCCGTCCTTGCCCTCCGCGGCCCAATATACGTATGTCCTTCGTGGCCCCTGCTCGTTCGCGCCCGTCGTGGCCCCATGTGCATGCACTTGGTGGCCCCGCTGTCGCCCTTTGTGGCCCCCTCGCTGTCCTACGTGGCCCCGTTGCTGTCCTCAGTGGCCCCGTCGCTGCCTTCCGTGGCCCTATTATCTGCCCTTCGTGGCCCCCGCTCGTTCGCGCTCTTCGTGGCCCCATACGCATTCCTTTCGTGTCCCCGCTGTCGCCCATCGTGGCCTACTTCGTGCCTTTCGTGGCCCTGCTGTCGTTCTCTCTCTCGCTCTCGCTTTTGCTCGTCGTCGTCGTCGTCGTCGTCGTCGTCGTCGTGGTCGGTCCCCTGTCCGTCCCCGTTGGGGTCGGGTTGCCGCCGATCAGCGCTGCAGCTGGCCAGGCCGACGGTCCGCGGCCGCCCCGCCGCTTGCCGGGGCCCGGCCTGCAGGGAAGAAAAGTATACCTCCCAACAGGCTTACCATCGAAGACGAAGAGGGCGGGTATCGAGGGTTTGGGAACTACGCGTCAACGGACACTCGAGCAGATAACAGTCTTAACATGATTGTTGTTGTTGTTGTTGTTGTTGTTGTTGTTGTTGAACATTATTAATTCTAAAGAATAATTATTGTTGGGCCCCCTGGTGCACGCCCCCCCCGCCGCGCCTAGGCCGCAGCTACATTTTCATCATTTTCGTGAGGAAGCCTCAGGTAATTCGATGTGATCAAGATCCGGTTGTTTTGTTCCCCCCCGCTTTCCCTTGCAAAAAACACTATAAAATGAAATTTCTTGTTCAAATGTAATCAAATTTCAAGAATCCCTTGCAAAAAATAAGGTAAAGTGGACATTCGCGCGTGCAAGACGAAATCCTTCCAAAAGCTTAGTGTTCGGAACGATTTCAACATAAAAACATCAAAAAACCAATGGTTTTTCAACAAAAAAATGTCAAAATCTCATCCCGCGCGCTCTTGCGGATTCGTAGGAAACCCAACACTTTTTAAACATTTCTGTCAAACGGGCTTTTGCGAGCAACTTTTTCGAACTTCTGCGACAACGGTTGCGCACCTGCCAGGGCCATCATCCCTGTCAAATAATACCATGCGGGACAGATTCGTTTTTTCTTCGCGCGCACACCTGTCAATAATACCATGAGGGACACATGTTATTCGGGGCACATGCGCGCCCCGAATAAGTGACCAAGTTCTGTGGGTGTGTACCCCACGCCAGTGTAGTAGCCACGGTCGTCCGCACGCCACGAAGTGAAGTGTCCCAACGTCATAGGGCGGGAAGCTGGGTTTGGGTGGTCGCGAAGAGTCGTTTGGATATTTGGTAGAGCTTGTAATGCCCCCCCACGAAGTGGGGGTATTGCCTGGTGTCGTATGAAAACCCTGGCACTGGGGAGAACACCACGCGTTCGGGTAAAATGATTGTTGTTGTTGTTGTTGTTGTTGTTGTTGTTGTTGTTGTTGTTGTTGTTGTTGTTGTTGTTGTTGTTTTGTTGTTGTTGGATGTTAATTATTCTACAGTTATTATTGTTCGACCCCCCGTGCTCTTTGACGCGCTCGCCTCGGCGCCGGCTACATTTTCATTGACAATGAGGGTCACGCTCGAGCGGTTTCGGAGAGCGCCAAAACAGGCCCCCCAACAATAACAACGCTCCCGCTCGAGACTTACTCCTTTTTTACTCAGGGCCGGTGCTCTTGCTCGCTGCCGAAAGCAGCCGTCCCAACAACACCAGCGCTACCGCTCCAGACTTCCTCCCATTTTACCTTGGGCTGGCGCGCCACTCTTTCTCTCATCGGAATCGCCCCAAGCAACAACAACGCTCCCGCTCGAGCCGTCCTCCCTTTTTTACTTCAGGCGGTGCTCCTCCTCGCCGTCGAAAACTGCCGTCCCGACAAAACCGAGACTTCCTCCCGTTTTACGCTGGATGCTCTCTTTTGAATTGGCGCCGTTCCCAGCAAGAACAACGCTCCCGCTCGAGGCTTTCTCCCTTTTTCGTCAGGACGGTGCTGTTCGTCGCCGCCGACAGTCCCCGTCCTGACAAAACCACGGCTCCCGCTCAAGACTTCCCCCCGTCTTACTCAAGGCGGTGTTCCTCATCGCCGCCGACAACCGCCGTCCCAACAAAACCACCGTTCCCGCTCGAGACGTCGTTTTGTTTTACGCTGGACTAGCGCCCTACTCTCCTCAGCATTGGCGCCGCTCCCAGCAACAACAGCGGCCCTGCACGAGACTTCCTCCATTTCTATTCAGGACCAAGTCCTTGCCTCGCCGCCGACAGCCCCCATTCCCACAAAGGCAATCCTGCCGCTAGATGTTTCCTGGTGCTTTCCCCTTGGCTGGGGTTCCAGTGGCGGTCTCGCATCGGCGCAGCAAGTCGTGGGCATGCGTTTCCGAGGCGGGTAATGTTGAATTTCCTCGGCGGAGGTGATTGCAAAACCTCATTGGGCGGGAGATCTGGGAATGGAAATAACGGACCCCGCTATAGAACAAGAACCCCCCATGATGGGGATGGTTATCATGATGGTCGCATACTTCGTGTGGAAATATCGCGAATGGGGGGAAACGTATTGTTGTTGTAGTAGTTATTGTTGTTACTGTTTGATTGATTGTTTGTTTGATTGTTTGATTGTTTGGATTGCGCGGTGGAGGTCTGGGACGGCGACCTTCTCTCGGCCGGTAGGGTGCGCGCAATCTCTGGAACGTCCCAGGCAAGCGCGAGTGCGGCCACTCTGGGTGAAGGGCTGATACCCTCGACAGCAGCCAACGGGGGATGAGGAGGAGGAGGATGAGGAGGAGGATGAGGAGGAGGAGGAGACGGAGGATGATGATGTAAAAAGGTAGGAGCGCTTCGAGGGCTGATCCAAGACGTACTTGGATACTCTAGGCCCCTGCGTTGCCTGGGCATGGATGTGAACCGATTTCCCGGTCCGGAGGAGGATGATAAGAATGAGGAGGGGAGGAGTAAGAGGAGGAGGAGGATGAGGAGGAGGAGGAGGAGGAGGAGGAGGAGGAGAAGGAGGAGAAGGAGGAGGAGGAGGAGGAGGAGGAGGAGGAGGAGTGGGAGGTTGAGGAGGTTGAGGAGGAGGAGGAGGCGGACGAGGAGCACTGTAAACCCGAGACACATCAAGAAAGTTGCAATAAACCCTCTAGGCCCCTGGAAGAATGTATTGCCATTGCGGGCAATGCCCCATTGAAAAACAACCGTTTGGGGATACCCGATCGTGCCAAAACACCCTGACTGGGACTTCAATTCCGTGAATCCACATGACTGTTGCGTCCAGACAACCCTAAATCTTGCCGGAGCCATTCCTGGGACATCAACGCAAAGGATCAACGTGACTGTTGCGTCATGATAACCCTAAACCGTGCGAGAACACATTTCTTGAGACTTCAACCCTGCGAGTCCTGTTACGAACTTATCATAATGAACGTGGCGGCGCTACGGCGAAAACCACATTTTGAAAAGGACCTGGCCTCCATCCTTGAATCTGTTGCAGACTTTTAAGACAAATGCGCGCGGCGCTAAGGCGAGAACAACATTTCGAACATGGCCCGCCTTTTATCCTTGAAACTGCTGCAGATTCCAAGCTTCAGGGTCATAAGTGGTGAGGAAGCGTCCAGCCCGCACTACTGACACGTTAAGGGGGTGCGACAGGGAGGACGTGTTAGGAGTGATCCCTAAGGGAGACGGATGGAGGACGACGGGAAGTACAACGAGGAGGACGACGGGGAGGACAACGAGGAGGAACGGGAGGCGGACGAAGAGGAGGCGGAGGAAGAGGAGGCGGAGGAGGACAGGAGGACGAGGAGGAGGAGGAGGAGGAGGAGGAGGAGGACGAGGACTCCCCGCGGGCGGCGGGTGGATGGGCGGCAGGGAGCCGCGCTGGCAGCTGCGAGGAGGGGAGGAGGGACGCGAGGGGGGAGGGCGAGGAGAGCAGGCCCCCCCCCCCACCCCCCCCGGGGTGCCGCGTGCTGGCCGAGGTAGAAGTAGATGAAGTGCTTCGTCTCGTGCGTGACGTACGAGCCGAAGTTCTTGCCCACCACCACGTGCCAGAAGGGAGAGTGCCTTCCCGCAGCGCGACGGCGGTCCTCGTCCCGCTCCCTCTCGTCCTCGTCCTCCTCCTCGATGCTCCTCGCCATTCCGAGGACAATCTCTTCGTCGTCATGCTTCGATCCTGCCCCTCCTCCCTTTCCTCCTCCTCCTCGGTCAGTCGGCCCCAAAGGGCAGATCATCAGAGGCGAAACCCTAACATGAAATAGTGGCGGGGAAAAGGGTAGAGCAGTGCGTTTTCTAGAGAATTGCGAATTGAACCCAGGAATTTCTGCCAGCCCCTCAGCACCCCCAGCGTCCGAGCCAGCGTTCAAACGATGGGAAAGGCACAGGAGTGGACACAAGCCTGTCGATTCACGCACTGTCGTGTCGTGTGAGCCTATAGACAAGCAAAGAAGACAACACGAGCAATGTAAGACCAAGTGTCCGCACTCCCCCCTCCCCGCGCTCTGGGACAATCCAGCTTCCCGCAGCATCCTCTGCTCGAGCTCGGGCGGGTGCGTCTGCCAGCGAGGGCGCCCGGGGTCATGGAAGAGCCGGCGTGCCGCTGCTGGGCGAGGCGCAGCAGACGGAGGGGGGCCCCGCCCCGAGACGTGGCCAGAGATGGAGGGGATACGGCGGGTTCGTGTCGTGCCGACCCCAGCGTTGGTTTTTGACACCGCAGGGATCGTTCAACCTTGAACGATCGGCCGTCTCCGCAACGTCCAATCGTTCAACATCGATCGATTCTGGGTCGCCGGCGGCGTTCAACCTTGAACGCCCGCGCTGGGGTCGCCGCTGGTCGACACGACGCGAACCTACCGTACTGCGACAGCAGCACAAGGGCTCGCCTCTGTTCCACGCCCCGGTGCAGCACAGCAGCATCACCCGGGAGGGCCGCGCGATCCTCTCGGGCCCAGGGGCCAGAATGTCTCCCCCGAGGGGTTCCCCCCCACGGCCAGGACTGGCCAGGGCAAGGGGCGCGCGGGCCCCTGAGCCTGTGGGGCCGAAACCTGGGGAGAGAAGAAGCACGCACCACAGCCCCCAGCAGCCCATCACTGGCGGCGTTGGTCCAGCACCCAACCTGCTGCCTGCACGTGCTGTGGTCACAGCGCATGCGCGTTAGACGTGGGCACCTGACCACCCCTCCCCAGGGCGCCAAGCTTCACTGAACGCACACGCGCACTCCTGAGCAGCCGAGAAGGTCATGAGAATCCTGTGTGAGGGTTCGGGGGGAGGGGGACAGAGGCTGCGACGGCGGCGGGGTCCAACGAGTGGGGGGAGGGGCGGGAGGGGGGGGGCACCAGGGCGCAACGTGCGGTCCCATAACTCTAACGGGGGCTCTGTTGGCGAAGGTGTCCTGCAAGCCTCGAGCACGGTTCTTTGCGTGACACAAACGCGGCTCCCCTCGAGGAACACCTCAGTCCTCCGCGCTGTGTCGCCAGGACCTGGTCAAAGGACTGTGGACAAGAAAGCTTTGGCAGCAGCGTGATGCTTGGTCAGCTTGGCTGGTCCCTCAAAATCCCTCACGCGAATATAGCGCGCCGATCCAACGGCCAAATCATAACGTATGTCTCCACTCTTGTGGATATGAAAGACATGCGCTCGCATGAGTCTGGCACGGGGAAGAACGTGTCCGCAGTTGGGGCGCAGAGAGGCAGGAGGACGGAACGAGGGAGGAGGAAACTCTAAAAGCGAACCAACATGGCCACTCTAATCCGCGCATTAAAAAGGGTCGGCCTGGAAACTCGGAGTGGGTCATGAGAAATCTCCGAACCATTCCCTTGGTCGAACTCTAAGTCCAACGGAACGGAACGCGGAGGAACGTGTGTGTGTGTGTGTGTGTGTGTGTGTGTGTGTGTGTGTGTGTGTGTGTGCGAGTGTGTGTGTGTGTGTGTGTGTGCGTGTGTGGGAAGAACCTGTAAAGACATCGGATCCTACACATATGAACGATGCCATCCTTGTGCATACGTGCGGAGGTGGGCAAGATCTCACCGCGGGTAAGGTTTTAAGGGAGGGCAGGCGCCGAACACGTCGATGGGTGGCCTCGCGGGCGAGGCGCAACTTGTCGGCGAGCAAGGGGCCTGCAACAAAGCATGTTGCTTTCGCTTTGCCTGCGCTGGAAAGGGCCCGCCTGGCCAGGCAGGGTCCAGAGACAGCTTCAAATCGTGCGGATCATGGCCAGGTGCAACTCGCAGACAAGGGCAGGAGGAGGAGAAGGAGGAGTAGGCGGAGGCGGAGGCGGAGGAGGAGGACGAGGAGGAGGAGGAGGAGGAGGAGGAGGAGGACGAATGGCGAGGTCATCCACGTGAGACGCGCAGCCGCAACGCACGCGCGCGGCGGGGGGGAGTCCGACGCAGCTGGGCCTCCCGCCCCCCCCCCCGACAGCAACTCCAATGCCATTCTGGATGGCGGCGGAAACCGCGTTGGAGATGTCAGGCGCGGGCGTGGTCTCAGGGCGGGATTCCCGATCCAGGCAGCGCAACCGAAGAGGGCACCCTCCAGAACGAGCCTCTCCGGGAGTCCTCGCGCAAGGCAGACGCAGCATGCGCATCCACCTCTTCGTCTAGGGGCCCGGGCTGCTGCGGCGTGGCTTTCAGCCCCGCCCAGAGAAGCTCGGGCAACTGCGACTCGGCAAGCGCGCGATCGAGCAACTCCTCGTCTCCTGGGAGCTGGAGGGCAATTTGCTCGACGGTGGTGTAAATGGCCGAATGGGGGTCCAAGAAGAAATGCCGGCGCGGCGCTGAAGAGGCGGTTCGGATGCAGCGATCATCATTTTCACGAGAACGTCCTGACAAGCCACCGCGCCGGATGCACAACACGCTTTTGTAAAACAACCCAGGCCAGACACCCGTTGAGCCTGCGATGGAGCTTGCCAAGAACTTTAGCCTTGAGGGTGCCGCTCTGGTTTCCATTGGCCGCGATGGCCCCTCTGCCCTTCCAAACATAAGCGACTGGGCCAAGCTTGAAAGAGATGGGCTCCTTAGATGGCCCCGTGCTTTTCACCCTGGCGGGCAGCGACGAGCGGGGCGCCTCGGAACGGGAGAAAAGAGGAGGAGGAGGAGGAGAAGGAGGAAGAGGAGGAAGAGGAGGAGGAGGAGGAGGAGGAGGGGGCTGGGCGACCGCTGTCAGCCCTTGACCCGTCGGGCCCCTGGCTCCCTGAGAGGGTGCGCTTTGCGAGGAGAGCGCTGAATCTGGTCTGGTGGCGGGCGGCAAGCGCAGAGCCTGGAATCTCCCGGTTCACGCCGCGCAGCGGAAAGCCGAGAGGGCGGTCGAGGGGGGGGGGTGCGTCGAGGGGGGGGGGTCGGTCGAGGGGGGGGTGCGTTTGCGGAGAGGGGGGAGACCCCTGTAAAGAGCAACGGCTTGCGGGGGGGGGCGGCGGGCGATTTGGAATGCTCGACCCTTGCAAAGTGCCCATGCGCGTGGTCAGCCGCGGCCAAAGCCCCCCCATCATCTCCCAGCATAGCGGGCTCCGCCAGAGGGCACTTCGCTGGGAGATCTCCGAAGCGCAACGTGGCGCGAGTGGCCCGCCGCTCTTGAAAGCACCTGCCTACCACAAATCGCAACCGCAACATCAATCGCTTGCGGGTGCAGGAAGCGCGTCTCATCTTGCCCTGGGAGAACTTCACCTTCAACTTCTTGGGCGCCCGAGTTATCTGGGGTAACTCGGGTCCACGGTAACTCGGGTTTGAATTCCCGAAAAATGAGCCCGAATTAGCCCTGACCCGATCCCCCTGATGATTCGGGGCTCTGTACGCCCGAATTATCCGGGGTAACTCGGGCCCGAGGTAAGTCGGCTTCGGAATCCCGAAAAAACGAACCCGAGGTAGTCCTGACCCGAGTTGCCCCTGATGACCCGGGGCTGCGAACTTCTGCTTCAATCAAGACATCCACCAGCCCAGCGTAAAGCTGGAGCGCAGGGGCGTGGGGAGTCTTGCCCATGATAAGGGTCTGTTTAGTAAGGCCCTCCAGAGTAAGCCGCCGCCTGAGACGCCGCTCCCCGCAGGCCTCGGCGCCCGCGCCCCCGCGCGGGGCACTCATCTGAGCGCGACGGCCCCCTGTGGGCGCAGACTCCCCTTGCCCTTCAAGGCCGATGCACTTGCGCATGACTCGCTCGGCGCCTCTCCTTGAGCAGGGACCAACCGTTCTATAGGCCTACCACGAAATGCTCTTAGAACCCACAAATGTTCGAATAACCAAAACAATGTTCTTAGAACGTATGCCCGATGTGTCAAAACAAAACAATATCAGCCAGAAATGTTCTAGGAACATTTCGTGCAGACCAGCTAAGGTTCTTAGAACATTCTTTGGTAGACCTATAGGCGAGCCAGGACGCTTCGCCACTGCTTGATCTCCTGAAGCGCGCGAGCAGCGCGGTCTGGCAACTCATGTTGGCCTTGGTCGCCAACTTGCGGGAAGGACCGATCGCCGCGGGCCCCCTGGACTTGTCGGACTTGTTGCGATCAAAAAGGAGGGGGGGCGCCGGCGCGCATTCGCTTGGGGCGACAGCTCTCCAAGCAAGAGAGGCAACGGACGGGATATGGTCGGAAGCAATGGCGAGGTCGTCGCGTGAGTGGTCGGCGGCAACACGCGAGGCGGCTGGCGGCGATGTGGATGAGACCGCTGTGCAGTCGTTGCGATGTTTGCTGTCGTCGCGGGCAGCGTGGGCGAAGCCGCCCATATTTCCTCGAAGCGTATCAACGATGTACTTTTCAGTCGCAGCGCCGAAATTTCGCAGCAGCGGTGCTGTCCGTCGCAGTGGAGTCTCCAGGGAGGTCCTCCGTTGTAGTGGCCCCCTCGGCCCCGATCCATTGGCTGGCAACCAATCCAAGGTGGGCATTGCCATCGACGCAGGAGGTGAGGGGGGCCCGTTTGTCAACCTTTTGTTCTTGTGAACTTCCTCCGAGATCAATGCGGGCGTCATGGGCAACAAAGCAGGAGCGCTCGGTCTTGTCCAACTTGCGCGGTCACGATCAGATGGTGGGGGTCGTAAAACAAAGCCCTGGCACCTGTGGTAATGAAAGTGACGGGGCTATCTCCAGGGTGGCCGCAGGGCTTCTCGATGGCCCTGACAAGAATCAAATCAATGGCGTGCAACGGGCCAGTGCTACCAGTGCGCTTGGCGCCTTTAGCATTCCATGAATCTTGAATGCCCACGAAATGGGCGCCCGCCTCACCTGGATGTTGCGAGGTGGTCAAGTTGCGCGCGAGACGTTTGCGACTGGCATCTCATGCAACTCTTTCTCATGCGCCGATGTGCAACTCGACTGGCACGCCTGCAATTGGACCTGGAGAGGCGGGGTAGCGGGCAGGGAAGGGTCGATGAAGAACCCAAGCTCATCTTCAATGCTAGCGAACGTGTCGACGAGCGGGGTGGTTTAAAAATGTCCCTGCGACAGGGGAAACGCATCTCCGCAATCTTCTTCGGCGTTGGCAGACAATTCCCGCTGCCTGCTAGGGTCGTGTCTGCTTGCTTGGGCCCTGGGGGGCGGCGGGGGAACGGGGGGCGTCGCGTTTCCTGGTGTCCGAGGCAAGGTGGTCCGTGAACGCGTTCCAGGGATGGTCCTCGCAACCTCGCGACCCATGGCGCGAAACAGTTTAACCTGTCGGCCCGCGGACGCGACATCATACATAACCCGTGGTCACCAGCACAACTCGATATTGCTCGCAAGGAGTCTGAAGTTGAAGTGGGTGCGGACTTGCGGGGGTCGCGTCATGAACTAAGCATGACGTCGGGGGCCTGGGAACCGAGCCACGGGCCTGCACGGAGCGAGCCGCCCGGCACTCCCGCGCGACAGCACTGGCCCCTTCCCGCAGGACCTTCCTCGCAGGCGACCGGGCCAGGGACATGCCCGACTTCACTCGAGCGAGCACGCATGGAATGGACCGCGCCGCACCCTGCGACGGGAGCTCTCGAACCGCATGGTCTGTCCCCGTGCCAATTCGAGCAGCACGCTCGTGGAACCGAGCTGGCCACTACAACCACAGCTGGGACTCCTGGCCCGGCGCGCTGAGAAGATGCGGGCCTCGCATCATCCGTTTCAAGAGATTGAGTATCGTTTCACCGATCCCCATCCCCAGCGGCGTGGCCTGGGCCCCACTGGCCGATTTATCCCCCTAGATGGGGGTATAGATCGTTCCCTTCGGGTTTCGAGGGGTGTACCCTCACGTGGGGTGGTAATTTGGGGGGGGGGTCTCGAAGGGGATGGGGATGGGGATGGGGATCGGTCAATCGATACCGAGAGATAAAGATTTCTACACGTGGCCGGCCCTGGAATTCTGAGTCCAAACTTTGTACGTCGCAACGCGGCAGAAGCAATCCGCACGCACGTCCAGGCAAGCCGGGCAACAGCATTGCGAACAGTCCCGACTGCAAGGGGGGAGGAAGAGACGAGGGCTGGCCACCGTCCGTCGACCTTCCGCTGGCTTCTGCCAGCGGAGCCGCCGGGGTTTTACTATCGCTGGCCCTCCGCCGAGGGCGAGGATGCGCCGAAGGAGAGGCCCTTTCCTCGCCATCGCTCGGACGTCCACTCCCCGTGCATTTCTCGGTTTCGTGTTCTTTCTCGCAAGATGATCCAGGATGCTCCTCGCTGGTCCTCGCGGGGAAGAATGCACACGTCCGAGCGACGCCGGGTCTCTGGCTCGCCCCACGTGCCCCGGCCGCGCCTTTTGTCGAACTCCTTCTTGATGAAATTTGCGATCTCCCTCTCGGTATTGTACCTGTCCATCGCCTGCTGGGCACATTCGATCCACTGCCCCGCCGTGAGGGGCCCAGGCCGTCGCTGCCTGTGCTCGCGCGCCCCCCAGCGAGAACTGGACGATGGCCATCTTGCCAGAGCTCTGCCTCGGTGGACCTCGCGAAGCCCCTAATTATCGATAACGCGCAACATCCTTCGATGCTTCTGACTTGCATCGGTTGAGTCTGACTTGGACCAGATCATGTCTGTGGCGAGCGAGGAGTGGAAGTGAGACGGAGGAGGCCTTCTCAGAAGGCGGCGGGACTTCTCAGGAGCCCTCGGGCCTTCCAGAAGGTTTTCTGTGCCTTGGGAGAAGGCCCAAACAACTTCTCTGAAGGCTGGAGGACTTCCGAGCCCTCTGAAACGGCCTGCCCCCTCTCACTTCCTCCCCAGGCCGGCCGCCCATCATGACACGGCTTTACGGTTCTGCATCAAAACTTCTGACGTACCGTCAGGTCGGGCATGTCCTGGGCGACAAATCGAACATACGCACCAAAAATACACACCCAAATAAGCAAAAAATGCCCAAACAAACATCGTCCCCAGACTGTTTCTTGACTGAGCGGCGCGCGGCTCGGTGGGCCGCCCTCGCAGCTCGCCGCAGGCGCGCGCGCGCGCCCGCGGGAGGACGAGGGCTCCGGCGGCTTCGGGCCGCGAGGCACGGAGCATGATCTCCGCCTGCATCTCCTCTCGCGCGGGCGGGGGCGGCGGGTGCTGCCAGAAGAGCCCTTGACCCAAGGGGGCCTCCGGGATCTCCAAGGAGCCCCCGCGGCCTCCAGAGCACCCCTCACGAGGTCCCCCTACAGGCGGATTTAAGGCGAAGAATAAAAGATAATCCAAACATGTTCCACAATGCTTCAACATAGTCAAAAAGATCGTCCCCAGGATGCTTTTTTCCCCACATGTTTCGTGGGGTTCTGGTTTTCTTCCCTGCCGCGCCGCACCCGCGACACTCACACACTCACACCTCGCTCTTCCCCTCCTCTTCTTCCTCCCCCCACCCGCGCTCAACACATGCAACAACATGCACGGCAAGTACATGAGACACGCGTCAACATACAGCCGCACGCATGCACACACTCGCACACACACACACACGGCACAGCTTAGCACAGCTCAGCTCACCTCAGCACAGCGCAGCTCAGCAGAGCACAGCACAGCACAGCACAGACTAGCACAGCACAGCACAGACGGTCGTCCAGGCACAGCAGGCGTGGAACTTTCTCGGCACCACAGGGGGTGCGCAGGGGGTGGCCCCTGAGCTCGGCCGCTATGCGCGACGGTCGTCCAAGCACAGCAGGCGTGACACTTTCTCGACACCATAAAGGGGGTGCGCAGGCGGTGGTCCCTGAGCGCGGCCGCTGTGCACGACGGTCGTCCAGGCACAGCAGGCGTGGCACTTTCTCGACACCACAAGGGGTGCGCAGGGTGTGATCCCTGAGCTCGGCCGCTATGCGCGACGGTCGTGGCAGGCGTGGCATTTCCTCTTAGCCACAGGGGGTGCGCTGAGGGTGGGGGCCCTACGCGCTGCAGGCTCCCAGGGCGTGGAAGGCGTGGCATTTCCTCGACGCCACAGGGGGTGCGCTGAGGGTGGGGCCCCTATGCGTTGCAGGCTCCCATGGCGTGGCAGGCGTGGCGTTTCCTCGACGCCAAAGGGGTGCGCTGGGGGTGGGGGCCCTGTGCGCTGCAGGCTCCCAGGGCGCGGCAGGCGTGGCATTCCTTCGACGCCACACGGGGTGCGCTCGGGGTGAGGGCCCTATGCGCTGCATGCCCCCAGGGCGCGGCAGGCGTGGCATTTCCTGGGCGCCACAGGGGGTGCGCTGGGGGTGGGGGCCCTATGCGTTGCAGGCTCCCAGGGCGTGGCAGGCGTGGCATTTCAACGACGCCACAGGGGGTGCGCTGGGGGTGGGGGCCCTATGCGCTGCAGGCTCCCAGGGCGTGGCAGGCGTGGCGTTTCCTCGACGCCGCAGGGGGTGCGCTGGGGGTGGGGGCCCTGTGCGTTGCAGGCTCCCAGGGCGCGGCAGGCGTGGCATTTCCTCGCCGCCACAGGGGGTGCGCTGGGGGTGGGGGCCCTATGCGCTGCAGGCTCCCAGGGCGTGGCAGACGTGGCATTTCCTCGACGCCACAGGGGGTTCGCTGGGGGTGGGAGCTCGTATCTTGTCAAGAACTGTACACACCTTGGCTCAAGCCGGCTCGGCGCGCCTGCGCTCTCACGCAGGCGCGCTCCTGTGGTCCTACTTCAGAGCGCCGCCCGACCTGCGCGGCAGCCATGCCTCCCAAAATCGCCGTGGACGCGCTGCCACCTCCATGTTTGGCGATGAAGACGGCAATGGTTCAGATGGGCGGCGAGGTTAGCGTGGAGACCTCCCGCAGATGCGCCAACGGAGTGGTGCAGTCCGCTTTGAATCCGCACCGCCGCCAGCTTCACACTTGGTGGCCCGATACGCTCTACGCGAGGTACTAGGAGATGAACGACGACGGCAAGAGGCAGTGCTTGGTGGCGCACCGTCAGAACCCTGCGTCGGGCGGATTCCCCCAGGAGGCTCTTTTAGACAACGGCGGCAGCCCGCCAGCGAAGGTACAGCGAGTGCGCGAGGCCGGCAGCGCGGCGGCTGACGCAGAGGCCCCCACCGCAGCGTTTGCCACGCCTCTGAAGGCTACACCGACGAAGGACACGCCAACGAAGGCCCCGCCCATGCAGACTTGCACTCTGCAGCGGTCCCCGGCTTTGCTGCTGGCTACCTCTGTTCGTTCCACTGGCGCTCCTCGCGCTCAGCTTTCTCCCGGGCCCGCGGAGGCGGACGAGCGTTGGTGGCAAGGACCTTGGTCGCGGAGCCTGCGACAGTCGGTCGCGGCGACCTGTTTGCGCGCCCTGGCGGATAAGAAAGCCGTCGGATGGTGCAATTCGTTTGCAGAGAAACGGGCGGTGGATCCACTGTTCCAACCGTCCAAGAAGGGTGCCGATGCAAACTTGTGGCAGGCTCTCAACAAGTACTCCAACGGCCACCGCCCGAGCTACGAGATGAATGTTCCCACCCTTCGACTGTTCGCATTGCAGCCTGACGTGCTCGGCGTAGCTAGCGCCAAGTTCTACGGGGAAATGAGCGACGTCGCGACCCGCTGATCGAGCTCCTCGCCTGCATGCGCCACGAGCGACGGATCCCCGACTATGTCTGGGTAGCCTTCCAGGCTCGGGTTGCCACCGACTGCGCGACCGGAGTGAGGGGCCCCGAGGCGCGACGAAGAGAAGTTTGCGACCGGATTCGAGATGGCCTGGTACTGGAGTACGCTGTGCCGATGGATATCTCGCCGGACCATGGTCGACTCTCGCGCCATGGGCGTGGCGCTGGTCTTTCTGCAGTCAAAGGACGAGGGCGTCCGTCTCCTGCGGCGCGCCACAGGAAACAGTGGAGGCTTGGAAAAGGCTGCTGAACGTGCCGAACCTTTGCGAGACGGGGCGCATGCACGGAGTTCTCCCAGCGCACGTGGGCATGGAGGTGAGATTCACCGTCAAGGTGTCCAAGCGCAAGAGCTTGGTCCAGGAGGAGAAGGCCACCATAGTGAGCTTCGTGTTCGAGAGCAGCGACCAGGTCAGGTACGACGCGTGCGCGCCAGGAGAGGTCTTCCGCCCGCACTTTCTGCCTGCCGAAATCCGGATGCAGGTGCACAAGTTTGAGAAGCAGAGCCCGGACGTGGTCGCCGCCCTCACCAACTCTTTCGTGATCGACAAAGAATAGGCGAACGGCCTGTTCTGCTTCCCGCTCGTGGAGGCGAACTTCAAGTGGACAAGCGCCAACAAAACGCACCGGGTCAAGAGGTTCGGGTACGCGCTCACGCACGGGCGCTTCCTGACATCAACCGCGTCACAGGGCCAGACGATCAGCACCGGGGTGACCATCGACTGCGCGCAGGACACGAGCATTGGCAAACCGGAGGAAAGAGGGGAGACCTGGTGGCTCCACCTGTACGTGGTGCTCAGCAGAGCTACTTGCATGGAAGACATGCTCTTGCTTCGGCCGCCGCCACGGGAGGTCTTGCAGAAGGGCCCACCTCCGTCCGTGCTCAAAGCCCTCCAGAAGTTTGACGAGCGCATGGCTACGGAGACGCGGGAGATTGAGGACCTCGCTCTGGAACGCCAGTGGGTCTTGCCGGCGGCGTGAGGTCATTGGAGCGCACGGCCGCCAGAGTCTTTCCGACGAAGGCAGCGCTGTCCACCCGCGTCGAATTCGCGCGGCCCGCGCCGCTCCTGGACGATTTCGGAGCGTCCGCACAACTTTGGGTGTCGTGGCAACCGCAGCCCAGAGATTTTCCATCGAAGGGCAGTCGCATTTTGCACGCAGGTGGGCCACGTTTGCCATGCAAGTCTTTTGCGCGCGCACCTGAGAGACTCTCCGTCGAAGAGACGCGGCGACAGACGTTTGGAAACTGCACGAAACTAGAAAAAATAGATCGACCGAGGAAACAAAGGGAGGCAAGGGTGCGGAAGAACGCAGCATGAGGCGAAGGAGAAAGGATACTTCTAGAGGCTCCGTAGAGCAACTGTGCAAGGGGTGTGATTTGCACCAGCTTCCACAGTTGGCCCCTGACTACTCGAGCTGTGGCAAAACTTTCTGCATCACCTCATTGCTTGTTGCGACCCCAGGAAAAGGCCCTCGGTGACCACCCCGAAATTTTTCCCGATGAAGGATGGAAGGCGGGGAAGAGGGAGGATGTTCAATCAGTAGTGTGATGGATGACAACAATATAAGGAAACATTCGCGACGAGGGTTTAGAACGCAGGATTGCGCATACATGATAATGAGAAGCAAACGCATAATATTTAAATTAAGTATGTGGGGTTCCTCGGTACCGTAATTTTTCATATATATATATATATATGATGTATTATTATTGTTGTTATTATCATTATTATTATTATTATTGGATAGTGATGTTTGAATATTCCCCTGTAAAGGGCTAGCCCAACTTAATGCTAGATGTGCCCCTGGATCAAGGTTTGGGCCTGACCCCCTACAGGCGGATTTTGGGCGACATTTTTAAAGACTCTAAGCATATTCCAACATGATAATAACATTTAAAACATCATTCCCATACTTTTTTGTGCAATTGAAAATCCCTCCCGTACAGGGACAGGCGCGACTTAACCCAAGGTGCCTCCAGGGTCTCCAGGGAGCCCCCGGCGCCTCCCGCGCGCCTCGCACGAGGGCCAGAGGGGCCCCCAGGTGCTCCACAGGAAAGGGGCCCAGGGACGCACAAATAAAGACACACACAAATCGCAGGATTCCCAATAGTTTCCAATGTTTTCTGGGTTTTCGTCTTCACCCCCACTCCCCATATTTTCCAATCTTTTCCTGGGAGCCGACGATTCATTGTGTCTGTGTGTTTTTTCCCCTCCTGACGCAGTGGAGCGAAAAGCTGGGGGCACCTTGGGCCACGTACACCTTGAGCGACCCCCGAGGACGGATCGGGGCGCTGCTCACGCCGCGGGCGAGCTCGTGTGGAGGTCGGTGCCCGCGCGCAACAGCGGGCGAAGAGCTGCATGACGCGAGCTTCTCCGCCATCGGGGGCGCCTGTCCCAGGGAGGCCAGGAAGCTGATCCCTACAGTGGCAAAGGGGGGTGAATGAACTTTCCCGAGCCGCCCTGGGACAAACGCCCCCGACGGCGGAGACGCTTATTTTGTACCGTCCTTCTCGGGCGACGAAATCTATACATATCCATTGCTCCCTGGCCAGGCCCATCCTGAACCCAGGAGTTGTGCATACGCCCTCCTGGCCACGCCAGGAGGGCGCAGCGTATACACAGCTGCTGGGTTCAGGATGGGCCTCGCCAGGGAGCAGTGGATATGTATAGATGTCGTCGCCCTACCTTCGCCCGCCCAAAGCAGCCCGGCCAAAGCCAGGCGGCCCTGAGAGGGCAGCTCTGAAACCTCGGCTTCGCCCGCCCTCTCTGCGGGGGCCGCCGGACTGCGAGGCCCGAACTGTAGTGACTGCAGCCTCGCCTTCGCCACTCGCCGCTCGGCGAGTCGTAACATTGAGATGTCCCTGGGAGCTCGGCAACTTGGCAACTGGGACTTGCCAGCATCCAGTTCTCAGAACACAAAAAACAGATCGGTCCTTCAGGGCGCGAGTGGTTCTAGCGAGTTCGTTCTTCCAACCACGCTGTTCCCCATTCGGGGAGGTGTTGATCAGTGCTCCTTATTCGTATACATGTCCTCCCTCACCCGATCAGCGACAAACCTGGAGCAATGCGCCTCCCCCCCCGCCATCCCTGTCAAAAAACGATGCGGCATTCACATTGCGGCACACTTCTGGGTCGTGCTCGAGGGGGGGGGAACACTTTTTTTTACGGCGCGGGTGCCAGCATATGGCCAGCTGTGCGCAGGGCCACCATCCCTGTCAACAAACATAGCCACACACAACCTGCACTTCGCGGCTAGGTCTGGATCATGCGCGGGCGCCCCGCGATCACTGTGCATGGCTTTTGACAAGATTGCCTGCTGTGTGCAGGCCAGACCGACATCATGATGGCCACTCCGCCAGACTTGTGCATTGGTTTTCGACAAGGATGGTGGGGGCCGACATGTCTCCCGATGTGCGCGGGTGCACCTGGAACGCTCTGCGCGTGCCCCAAACGTGGCGCACCTGGCCCGGCCGGAGCATGCGGCACACCTGGTGCACGTGGAGCACGTGGCGCATCTGGCGCACCAGGCGTGCCTAGCGCGCCTGGTGCGCGTGGCGCGCCTGGCACGCGTGGCGCACCTTGCTCCAACGTCGCACACCTGGGGTCTGTATTGGTTCCTAGCAGCTGTCCATCCAAAGGCGACCGCTGAATATGCGGAGACTCGGGTACTACTTATCTGTTGGGGAGGCGGGTGGGAATGAGCTGAACAATCTGCGTCTGGGAGATGTGTCTTGACCTCTCCTACCACCCCTTCCCCTGGGTCTGAGAGTCCAAGATGGTCGAAAGATGACCCGTATAGCCCAATATGGTTTCTACGATCGCTCAAGATGGCTCAACATAGCCTCCCACATGCCTCGAAGAGGCCACGCGGCCGTCCCAAAACGGCTCCAAGTTGCGCGGAGCCTCCCAAACACGCCCCCTGGAACTGAACGTCCGTTACGCCCAAAGGGCAACCCATGTTTTTTTTATCTTCTCGCCCTTTCGCTTGCGATGGGCTTCTACGGCCTCGATATGTCTCCAAGATGGCCCAAGAGAGCCCCAAGAGGGGCCCGACAAGGCTCCAGGACGACTCCAAGAGCGCCCAACAATGCCTCAATAGCGGACTCCGACGGGGGGACGCTCATCCGCGCCGCCTCCTTTTTGATCGATGGCCTCCAAGATGGCCCCCAAGGTCTCCAAGAAGGCCCCAAGAGAGTTCCAAAGCCTTTAAACTGGCACCAAGAGGGCCGCACCATGACCCGAATAAGCTGGCAAAGGGCTCCCATGTCGAACGATCCGCGAATGTATTGTTTACTCCTGGGTCTGCTCAGGCTGATCCCAAGCTTAGGTCTGACGACTGCTCCCCATCTTTGTTCAACTGCTTGCTCCTAAGCTTCTCTGATCAAGGCAACTCGCCTGGGCATTGTTTCTACAAGTGCTGGTGCGGATACGCGTAGGCGCGACCCCCTACGCCCCGAAAAGAACGCACTTCAATCCCAAAACAACGTCCTCATAATGCCTGAGTGTTCTGGGGGGAATGCAATGGGTCCGCGTCTTCGAGGCATGGCTTCGCGCCTTCGAGGCCACGATCCCTCATGGCAGAAGCCATGGTTCCGCGCCTTCGGGGCCACAGTACCTTGCAAAACACCGACCCGCGCCTTCGAGGCCACTGCCCCTTTGGAAGAAGCGATGGGCCCGCGCCTTGCAGCAGAAGCCGAGGCTCCGCGGCTTCGAGGCCACGGTCCCCGGCAACAGGAACGAGCGCCCGCGCCTCCGAGGCCACGGCCCCTTGCAAACTATATAGACAACGGCGAGGCCACGAGCCCTTGCAGAACAAGCAACGGTCAGGTCGGGCATGTCCCCCTGCAGGCGGATCTTGGACGAGATAGAACCAGCACTCCAGAACTGCCCCAACACAGCAGCTCGGTGCTGAAAAGATGTCCCCAGGGTGTGCTTTGACCATCTCTGAACACTCCCCCTGCAGAGGGACAGGCCCGACGTAACTCAGCGGGGCCGCGCCGTCCGAGGCCACGACCCCCTCCGAAAAAAGGCAGCGGGTCCGCGCCCTCCGTGGCCGCGAGGCCTCGCAGCAGATCGACCGCCGGGCCCCGCGCCCTGCGACGCCACGCCGCCCCCCCCCCCCCCCCGCGGCGGAGGCGCCGGCTCCCGCGCCCCTCGAGGCCGCGAGCCCCCCCTGCAGCAGGAGCGGTGGGCTCGCGTCCTCGGCGATGGGCCCGTCTTCCACCACCACCACCACCACCACCACCACCACCACCACCACCACCACCACCACCACCCCCATAAGTTGGAGGAGGAGGAGGAGGAGGTGGAGGAGGAGGACCCCCCTCCCCCTCCCACTTGTGGTCGTGGCGGTGGTGGTGGAAAACGAGCCTGTCACTCGGGGCCTGCGGCCTCTCGTGGCAGGCTGCGGGCACCGGCGCCCTCGAGCCTGCGATTCCTCTTGGGGGCTGCTGAAGGTGCCCCTGGCCCGAGGCGCCCCCCGACTTTTCTCGCTCAATTGTAACGTCCCTGGGGCCCACGAGGCCTCGTGAGGGGTGCGAGGCCGTGGGGGCCTCCGTGGAAATCCTGGGGGCACCTTGAATCAGGGGCACTTCTAGCAACACCCGACCTCTTGTGAGCGAAGCGCCGGATCCGCGCCTCCCATGGGGGAACAATAATGCATGTCGTTTTACCGTTTTGATGTTTATGTTTATGTATACTTCTTATTTCATGCCATTATTAGTTCCGCGATCCCATGTCGGGACCGCTTGCAAACAGCACGGGCCCGCGCTCTCGTTGCTGGCATCCTCCTGAGCAAGACCACAGGCCCGCGCTTGCCAGACCTTGGCACCTGGTGCACCAAACTGCGAGCCCGCGCCGTTGAGGCCACGCTGCCTCGTCAAAACAACATGCAACGGATCCGCGCCTCCGATGCCAAGATCCCATGCCCCAAACTATTGACCCGCGCGTTCGATGCTGTGATCCCGAATCCAAAACTACACCACGCGAAATGGTTAAGAAATCATGGGTTAAGAAATTCATGGTCTCAGAATTTGAACAAGAACCCAAAACTTCTATCAAAATCTTAAGGTTTACATTGAAACGTCAAGAATAATCGAGACTCTGGCCGAAAATTTAAGTTTTCTTAAGCATCGCCTAAGGTGTATGGCTCCGCGCTCCGCACCCGCCAACCACCGGGCCAACCTTCCAACCAACCAGCGGGCCTGGCAGCCAGCCCGCCAGCCAACTGACCAGTTGGCCAGCCAACATACCAGCAACCACCCGATCTGCTGACCTGCCAACCAACCGGGTAGCTAACCGACCCAACCGACCCAGTCGAGCCCAGCCATGCAGGCAGTCAGACCCCGACCGCCGACGTCGTTTTTTTGTATGTGTGTGTGTGTGCGTGTGTGCGTGTGTGTGTGTGTGTGTGTGTGTGTGTGTGTGTGTGCGTGTTTTTGCAGCGCCGACTCCCAGGAAGTCCCCCGCGACCAATTCATCATCCTGGATACCTTTTTGGGCAAGCCCTGGGCCTGGTGAGGGCCCCCAGAGGCCGAAACCCCTCAAAAGCCGCCCGCCGCGCGCTCTCTACGCCGGTTCGGTCCCAACCCCTCGGTGCACTGCGACGCCGACCCGCGGCAGCTGCCAGGGGCCAACCCTCAGCCCGGCCGCCTGCTGCGTGGGTGCGTCCCCGCGCTCTGCCACCTCCTCCGCGGCCGCCTCCCCCTCCTTGAAGGGGCCGGGCCCCAGGACACACACATAAATACACACAAATAAAAACATACCCCATATTTTTTTCATATGTTCTGGGTTTTTGCCTTCCCCCCCGCTTCCCATATGTTCCCATATTTTCTCAGAAATCGATGATTAATTGTGTCTGTGTGTTTCTTCCCCTCCTGACTCCTCCCCCCTATCCTGCCTGCGGGCCGATCCGCGCTGGCCGTGCCCCCGCCGCGCCCCGACGCTCGTGTCCGATCGCCCCAGCCTCGCCGCGACGCAGAACACCACTGCTCTCCACGGCGGTGGGGAGGAGGAGGAGGAGGAGGAGGAGGAGGAGGAGGAGGAGGAGGAGGAGGAGGAGGAGGAGGAGGAGGAGGAGGAGGAGGAGGAGGAGGAGGGGGGGGAGGAGGCCTCGCCGCGACGCAGAACACTGCTCTCCACGACGGTGGGCTGGGGGGGTGGGCGGCGAAGAGCCGCCACAGGCAGCGAGGGCGATCGACGGCGGCAGGAGGGCGACACGCCCTGGCTCACCTCAGTTTGAGCAAGGACCGACCGTCGCGGCATTCCTCTATAGGCCTGCCAAGAGACCTTCTCAGAACCCCCAAATGTTCTAAGATCAAAAGCAATTTTCTTAGAACAGGAGCCCGATGCGTTAAAACAAGACAGCATCGGCCAGACATGTCCTAAGAACATTTCGTGCAAACCGCAACAGGTTCTTAGAACATTGGTTTGGTAGGCCTATAGGCGAGCCAGGACGCTTCGCCACTGCTTGACTCCTTCTCCCGCCTCCCTCACGCCCGGCCGCCAGTGGGGGTCGCCGCGGGCACTGGCCAGCAGGCTGGCCCGGCGCAACTCCTGAACCATACAGTCGGACCTGAGATAAGAAGAACATGCTTCCAGACATGAGGCCCCCCGACTGCCCGAACTGAAGAACATTCGAGGGCACCCTCCCCCGAGAGGCACAATAACATCCAACAAACACGGAGAACATCAGGGTACCCTCCCCGAACCGACCTCGATCTTACACCTCGGTCTGACCGTATCCCAGGTCCCCGTGGCTTTTCGAGGTTCGGGGATAAGGGATGGTCCACGCTGGTTCCTCCGCCCGGGCCTGGAGCTGCTTGCTCCCGCTCGCGCTCTCCGCCGTTCCTCTCCCCTCGCCCTGCTCGTTCTGCCTCCCTCGTCCTCGCCCTCCTCCTCACCATCGTCCTCATGCCCTTTCTCCCACCCCGTGAGGGGAGCAGTGGTGGAGAGCGCGCGCGCACGCCTGGCGCCTCTCTCAAATCTGTAAGCTAGAATCCAGGCGCGGGCGCGGGGGGTCGCGGGGCAGGCGGCGACGACGGACAGAGGACGGAGGACGACGGAGGAGTCGGAGGAGGGCTGTGTGAGACGAGGGCTGCTTCTTGGCCTTCGAGGGGCCCCCTCGTCGCCACGGCCGAGCCCAGCTCGGAGAGCCCCCGGCTCGGAAAAAGCTGGTGCGCCTGGACCCCAGGAGGGGTCAAGGGATCAGATCAGCACGGCAGGTTCGTGTCGTGCCGACCCCGGCGTTGGTTTATGACACCGCGTGGATCGTTCAACCTTAAACGATCGGCCGTTCCCGCAACGTCCAATCGTTCAACATCAACCGATTCTGGATCGCCGGCGGCGTTCAACCTTGAACGTCGGCGGCGGGGTCGCCGCTGGTCGACACGACGCGAACCTACCGCACCCTTCTAACGGGGACTCCACTGACGGGTACTTTGGCCAGTGGCCTGGCGAACCCAAGCCTCCCCGATGTGGTCCACGCTGCAGCGCCAGAAAGAGGCCCTACAAGGAGCAACCTTCGGCACCTTTCAAAAATGCCCGTTGGTGAGCACCCGCTACGGTGCCGCGGAATCAGCTCCGAGCGGATTCGGGCCGCCGCTGTCTCACTGCCGTTGTCTCCCCTGGCCGCCCTTCGAAGGATGGGGCGACAGGCCCGGACAACCGACGCATTGCATTTCTCCCTGCGGGACCCCTCCGCAGGCCCGGACCTCCTCCCAAAGGGGCCGCTTTTTCACTCCGAGACGTCCTCTGACGGTTTCGGGGCACGGCGAGGCCCTCCTCCTCCTCCTCCTCCTCCTCCTCCTCCTCCTCCTCCTCCTCCTCCTCCTCCTCCTCCTCCCCGCGGCCGAACGCTGCCCAAGACCTCCCGCAGGAGACGGGCGGCGGCAGCGTTCCAGCGCGCGCACTGGCCCGGGCCACAGCGGGGGCCGGCCAGGGCCATGCCACGAGCCCAGGCCGGCCACGAAGTATCGGGGAGACGTAAGACCCGGGTATGGGGGACTCGGAAATCCCCGACGAGGTCGTCAAAAAAATGACGAGGCCGAGCCTGCATTTTGACGAGGCCTCCCGCTGCAGACATCCCACGAAACTCCTCCTCGTCAAAATCCGAGGCGCGGTCGTCAAAAAACGATGGCGAACCCGAGTCCCGGCAAACCCGGGTCTTACGCTCCCCCGAAAGTATAGCTCCCAAGCCCAGGGGCCAGCGGAGCGCGGCAAGGTCAGGTAGGCAGTTACCGGGTTGGGAGGCTGGGGTTGGAAGAAATGAGGATGTCATTGCCCGTAGGAGGTCGAAGGCACCGTGCATTGCATCCGAATGCTATGGCTCATGCCCTTATCCTCCCAACTCTTCCTCTCCACGCGATATCGTTCTCCTCGCAATAGGGGGATCGGCCCCACATGGCGGATCCCGGAAACCCTGAGCCCAAACACGTTTTCATCTCTTGAAAGCGCATCTTTTACCCGCCGCCTTCCGCCAGCCTTCCGCCGGCTTCCGCCGGCGGAGGCGGCCTCCTTTACTTCCGCCGACCTTCCTCCGTCTTCCGCCGAGGAAGAGATGACAACTTGTTCTATCCTTAGGTCGGGCGTGTCCCCCTACAGGCGAATTTTGTGCGAAGCATTAAAAATGGTCAAACATGTTCACAAATACTCAAAATAGTCAAAAAATCGCCCCCGTGCTTTTAAGCCTATTTTTGAATCTTCCTCCTCTAGAGGGACAAGCCCGACTTGATTCTATCCTCGAAGGCGAGGCCCTCTTTGGAACGCCTCGCGTGAATCCCAGACCTGGGTCAGCCCGAGGGGATCGGTTGACCCCAGTCGCGCTGACACTCATGTGGCGGGAGCCCCAGGGCGGTGCACGCGGCGATCCGACGTTGTGAAAAAGTGCGACATCGCGAAAAATCAGAACCGCTCTGGTGCTGCTTTGTGTTGCCTCCCGCGCCATTTTGGCCGCGTTGTGCTCAGTTCCGCTCTGAGCCGGGCGCCGCTTGCTTCGCTGTTTTTCCCTTTGCTTCGGCGCGGCCCGCCTTAGCTTGCATGGCGTTCGACTCGTCTTCGCTTGCCCGCGTACCAAAAAAGAAAAATCAGAACTGGAGCCCTAGACCCCTCCTGTCTGCGCCACTCTTCGAGCCGCATCGACCTGTGAGGGTCTGGGGTCCGAAGCGAAGCGAGCACGCCCAGCGCGAAACAACTGCAACTTGGGCGCGAACCGGTGAGGGGGGGGCGGTAATTGGGTGGGGGCCGCGAGGGCTGCCGAAAAGGGGCCCTTTAGGGCCCCAACGAGGGCCTTCGGGGCCCGACGAGGACACCTTTGTCTCCCCCCCCCCCGACTTGATCGCCATCCCTTTGACTCGCGCCCAAGCGATTGGGCGTGGCTTAATGGGGGGGTCACAAATGGGGGGGTCAGAAACGGTCCCCTTTCGTGCCCCTTTCGGGCCCCTCCAGAGCCCCAGGGGGCACGTTTAGGTACCGTTTGGGTACCTTTTCGGACCACCCTCGCCGCCCCCCCATTTATGACCCCCCCATTACGCAGCGCCCCAAGCGACGCCCAGATATCAGGGCCCGGCTGGCCTCGGTCATGTCGTGGTTCTTGATCTCGGCCTTCCGCTCCTGGAGGCCCAGATGGGGTCGAACCAGATGGGGTGTCGGAGCATCGCGCCGCATCGCCGATGCCTCGGCGAGGCATCGGCGATGTATCGCCAACGCTGGCGACTCATCGGCGACGTCGGCGTGGAGAACATCGGGCTCCGCATCGAGCCGCACCGCCGATGCATCGGCGATGCGGCACGATCCTCCGACCCCATCTACACGTAGGTCGGGCATGTCCCCCTGCAGGCGGATTTTGCACGACAAATAAAACATACCCAACAAATACCCCCCACACCTGTGAAACGTATTATCGAAAACTCGTCTCCACACTGTTTCTGGACTGTTTTCGAATGTTCCTCCTGTAGAGGGACATGCCCGACTTCAATCTGCTCCGATCGGCGGTGGACAGACCTCCCTTTAGTAAACCTCCATTTCGTGAAAACTGCCTAGGACCGAAACCGACGGACCTGGACCTGCAGAAATGACGGCCGCGACGCCCTCTTGCGAAGCGAAAGCGGCCAACTCGCTGATCGACGTGTCAGGGTAGGAAGTCTATCAACCTCCGATCCGACCCCATCTTTGGAGGCCTGGAAATTGGCACCACCACCAACACAGGGGATTGCCTCCACAGGGGGAAGCTGATCCTGGATTTCGGTGCTGGTGGTACTATTTCGGTCACTTGGGAAGCCAGAATAGTACCATCATCACCGAGATCGGGATCTTCTTCCCTCGGTGGAGGCACACCGCCGACATCGGTGTTGGCTTCAACCTCTCGGCCTGCTCGGGGATGGACAGACCTCCCTTTAGTAAAACGTGGTTTAGTGAAAACGACCTGAGGCCCAAACCTGGCGGGCGCAAGCCTGGAAAATAGCGACCACGGCGCCCTCTCGAGAACCGAAAACGGACAATTCACTAATCGACGTGTCACTATTGGGGGTTCTGTCCACCCCCGACCTGCGACATCTGGGAGGCCCCGAGCTCCGCCGTGGCCATGGCGCCGAGGGCGCGGCGCCCGGGCGGAGGCGCGAGGCCGTCGCTGTGCGCCCTCCAGCGGCCACCGCGGGCCTCGAGCCCTCGCAGGAAGCGCCGCGGGGGCGCCGCGCGGGGGCGCCGCGGGGCCCTCGGGCCGCTGCTCTTTGGAGACGGGCCATTTGTTTGTTCAGCCATTTTTTTTTTTTTTTCTTGGTCTTCCAACTTCTTCCCATGCACGATCGCGCGGTCGACCCGTATCAGAAGGACGCACGATAGGGGGTGCAGATGCTTTGGGAGGCCACGTCGGCACTTTGCGAGCGGGGCGGGGCCGGCGAAAGCGATCGCGGATGGGCCGAAGGGGCAAGGATGCAAGCGTACCCTTGGGAAGGTTGTCCATCTTTATTCTGTGGGTTGACTGTAGCAACAGGAGGTTTGTGGCCATTCCAGCCTCTGGGAGCGTCGAAAGACGACTCAGGATGGACAACCAGTCCTGGGGAAAGGGTCGGAACTTCCGGGGACCGCGCATGGAAAAACCAGGACGCCACATGCCTGGGTTGTGACTCGTGGGAGGTCCTCGTCGCCTCAATTGGACCCACCTCGCAGTTCTGATCCGGAAGGTCCAGGAGTCCTCGATCATATTTGGCAGCCTCGGAGGAGGGACAGGGGGAGGGGGAGGGGGAGGAGAAGGGGGAGGAGGAGGAGGAGGAGGAGGAGGAGGAGGAGGAGGAGCAGGAGGAGGAGGAGGTGGAGAAGCTCCCGGCCTAAGCGGCGAGGCTTCGGTCGTCTTCGCGCCCCCGCCACGGGCGGGAGGGCCCTCAAATCCGGGCGTTGCCATCTTTTCGAAGTGGGCGTTTTCGCCTGGTTTCGGCCCCCAGGGCCATCGCTTAGGTCGGGCATGTCCCCCTACAGGGGGATTTTGGAGGAGGAATCAAACATAGTTGAAACATATTCAAAAATATTACAAAGTAGTCAAAACATCGTCTCAAACACACTTTCTGACAACTTTTGAATATCCCCCCTGTAGAGGGACGTGCCCGACTTAACCTCAAGGCCATCGCAGATCGACCCGGCTCGAAAGATGCCGCAGCAAGATGGGGTCCAGGGCTCCAGGTGTGCCGTAGCGTTTTGCGAGCGACTTGAAACAGAGAGCCCACTCCAATCTATTACCGCTCCGTGCAGTCGACGCTGGAGAACAAACAGGCTCCTATTCGCTTGCGGCTTAAGCTGTTTGACGCAATTGTGTCGCCGACGTGTTGTTGTTGTTGTTGTTGTTGTGGTTGTTGTTTTTTTTACAGTTTGCCGAAGACACCGTTGACCTCATGACACTTGGGCAAACTTGATGCCCTTCAGAGAAACATGATGCGTCGCATGGTTGGCTGGGTGCTGCTTTGATGACGAGTCTTGGGAAGAAACTGGAAGTCGTAAGAGGGGCCGTCTCCACGCAACATTGCGTAGACATTACATGACCAATTGGAGCGGGGTGCGAAAGTGCAGCCGTGCGAACATGCTCGCCAGCCTTGCGTCCTCGGACACTCCACGTATGTCTTGCGCAGCCCACGCATGGGAGCCAGCCGTGTCGGGGTAGTCGCACCACGGGCAGCGCCCCTACAGGGCACAAGGAAGGCCCTGGCAGAGATGGAGTGATTGAGGTGTCAAGTTTCCCAGCGCTGGTTGCGTTCCTTCCCCTCCCCGTCCCCCTCCTTCTGCTCCCTCCCCTCCCTCCTCCCCCCATCGACCGCAAGACGAACAGCCGTGAGCTCGCTGACGCTCGAATATAAATGTATGAGTTGCAGCAGAACTCTCTTTTCCAGGCGCAGTCGAAGGATTGAGGGCCTGCCGCTGCCACTCTAGGGCGAGTTGTCTTTCCTGTTTTCCCTGCCCCGTTGGCCTGCAGCAGGACGCGGCCTTTGCGCCGATCGGGAGCTGCGCTGCGTGGTGTGGGATTTCGCTGGTGGGCTCGTACACGGGTAACATATACATCAGCAGAAGAGTCCCACACGGGGGGGGGGAGCCCCAGGCCGCCCGCTCTGGCAGCCATTTCGCGTGAGACTCCATCACGCTTTGTTCAAGAATCGTGCTCGCGCCTCAATGCTGGCCACAATTTTGGCCCGCACGGCCACGATCCGCGGTGAAGCATACGCGAAGATGCACATGGCCGTGCTCTCACCTCTTTCTCCTATGGCCGACCTCCTACTCCTCGATTCGCCTCTCCACCTTTGCTATCATCAGGGCGCTTTGCTGGGGTAATGTGCGATGATGTATTTTTCCTCAACGTAGGATCTCAGGATCAGCAGCCCCCACGGTCATCCAACGACCCTCGGCAAAAGTAACCTCAAACATGTCTTACACAGCTGAAGTGTGTATGGACAGATATTTGCTTGAGTGGCGATGGGTGCGAGGTGCTTGGATGCGCCGCCCCTCCATCGTCGGTCATCGTCGAACTTCCGATTCGCTCCCGGTCAGACCACCCTTGCCCTGGCCCCGACACTGGAGCGGCGCCGTATCGACATCGAGGGGCGCGCCGACCTCGAAAGGGCACGTCCGCCATCTCTGAAGTCAATTCTGACGAGGGTAGACGTTGGGTTCCGGCAGTGATATTTGCAAGATGCCACGATTTGTTCGCAGCGTCGGCTCTCAGGGTTTCTCCCCTGAGAGGGGCGGCGGCGCCCTGGCCTTAGGTCGGGCCTGTCGTCCTACAGGGGGATTTGTCGGCGGAGAATTAACCATACTCCAAAAATGCGCCCAAAATTCAAAAATTGTCAAACAATAGTGCCCTGATATTTTCTGACTGTTTTTGAATACCCCTCCTGTAGAGGGGCAGGCCCGACTCGACCCTGGCCTGCGCGGCCGTGACCGCGGCCGCGCTCGCGCCCCCGCAGGGGGCGGCCCAAACAGTGCCTCGCCTGCGGACGAAGACGCCCAGGGATTTTGGGCGAAAAATGAAAAACACCCAAACAATAATCAACACATATTCCCAAACAGTCAAATAATCGCCCCCACCCAACGTTTTTTCCCTACCAAGGCTCTGCCTAGAAGGGTTCTTACTCTCTGAGGGACGGGCAGTGGGCCCCGCCCCGGGCGGTTCCCCCGGCATCCGCCCCGCGTTTCCCCAAGTCCCCTGGGAGCTTTAGCTCTAGCTTTAGCTTAGCTTCAGCTTAGCTTCAGCTTATGGGATAATTTTGTGTGACCATTTTCGAATTTTCCTTCTGTAGAGGGACATGCCCGAACTGATACCAGGCCGATTCGAATCGGGAATCTCTGCGAATTGGCGGGCTTGGAAGATGCATCGGGCGCCGCGCCGCGGCGGTTCCAGACCCTTCCGGAAAGTTTTGAGAGCGCTGGGCCGATACATTCGGGGATGGACAGAGCACCCTTTAGCACAACATGGTTTCATGAAAACGACCTCGGGCTCAAACGTGGCGGGCGCAAGCCTGGGAAATGACGGCCGCAACGCCCTCTCGAGAACCGGAAGCAGGCAAGTCGCCAATCGACGCGGCAGGGTGGGGGCTCTGTCCACCCCCGGTTTATTTCGAGTGGCGGTCTGCCGGACCAAACCTCTGACGTCCACCGCCGTGCCTGCGAGGCGCGAGTTGGAATGTCCTCGGGTCCCTTGCTCAATCGCCTGAGCCCCCGCCCTCAATCCTGATGATCTGTGGAAAGGGCCGGGCGCTGAAATTCTCAAATCTCCCGTGCAAGACCCGGCGCGCAACGGGGTGTTTTCCCGCAGATCTACTTCGGCTCCAAAGACGGGCCAATGGGCCTCTGACCTACAACCAACGCGCGGTGGCCACTTTGAGAATCCTTGCGCTCGAGCTCGGCCGAGCCTCTGCTTCTCCTGGTCAGAGAGGGCAGCTAGGCTCGTGGCCACAGCTCGCAACGTGGGCACATGCATCCAGATCGGCTGCGCAGAGGCTGCAGTGAGGTAGTAAAAATCTTCATCCACGAGAGTAGCGGGCATGACCTTCGCCGATCGCGAAAGGCGGCCTTTGCCTACAGTCAAGTCACGTAGAGGCTGCCGAACGGATTGATGCTTGGCAGCGGGAATGGAGCCGCGCTTGCCCACCGCGTGGGCCAGGTCTTCCACTCGGTGCTGTCGTGCACGCAAGGCTCGAGAATATGAAGTGCCCGCAGGTATGATGAGCCAGCGCTCCGCCTGCGGTGCTGTGATGATACACCACCGCGGTACCGCGTCCTGCGTGCTTGCCGGGGTCGCCACACTGGAAGAGTGATGCCGGCTTCTTCTAGATAGACGCCACTGTAGACGACCTGGCGCGTGCCGCCGAGCCGACCCTGTCTCGAATCTGGCGTTCCCGATCCGAGGTGGGCGTCCCCTTCCATGACGCCAATCCAAGAGCATCCAGGATGCCCATGCCCCACTACTTCCCCCGGTGGATCGTCGTCGTCTTCCAGAAGAGGTGGGCACTTAGGCTTCGGAGCGAAAGGGCGCGGGGCCTTGAGCTTGCTCGCGGCCTGGGCCCTACGTCCACGGCAGAGTGAGGTCGAGGCGTGTGCTCAGCGACTCGTCGTGCATGCTTCGTCTCTGCTGCGAGGCATCCGCTGGCCGCCCACCTGTCTTCGCCACCCTGTGTGAGCCAAGAGATGCCGCGACCAAGTGTCCGTCGATCTTCTCGGCAGATTTTGACTCGCTCAGCTTTGTCGGCCTCGAATGCCAGTCCGCGGCGACAATGGGAGGGGCGTGGTAGAAACGCAGCCGGGCCCCTAGCTTCTCCAGTCGAGAAGCGTTCCCCCCTCGCAGTGCGAGGCCGTGCTCCAAGTAGAGGGGGCAGGCCGCGAGACCACCGCGCGGGCCAGTGCACGAAGACGCCTACACACCAACTGGGCACCACCACATGATTGTGCATGCCCCCCCTAGCATCGAGTTATGTCGTCCGGGTTTGGCGGCGAATGAATAACCCTAAACATGCCATCGGCTGACCAGTTGGGCCCAAAACGCAATCGGTGATGCAAGCTTTCCAACCGTGGCGATGGCGCCACTCCTCCGCCTGTAGCCGCGCATCCCTCGAGAGGCGGACCTCCTGAGACGCGACCAGGGCAGATCCTCCAACCCCGTCCTCGAGGTAGTCCTTGAGGCGAGGCCATCCGTTGGCATTGTAAGTAGAGATGGTGAAGGCCTTCCTCTTCGCCCTCCTGGGGGCGCGTCGGCGGGCCACCTGTCGCGCGCGCTGCACAAGTGTCGCCGTGTCTGGCACCTCCGACGCAGTGCGCCACGCCAGGTATTCGTGGTAACTGAAGCCTCTAAACTCACTAGCCACGCTCCATCTCCTCGGTCGGACCGCCTTGCAGAGCTGTGTCCCGTGGATGAGGATGTGTTGTGTGATCAAAAGCGTCACCTGGCTGCTGGATGCCTGCAAAGTGATAGGGCGTGGCGAACGCGGGTGTGCCTGTCGGCGCCGTCGGACCCGCAACCTCTGATATACTACCATATGTACCGACTGCTCTCTGTGGCCACGAGTCCGAGAAGCTCCTGTGCCTGGCGCTCCAAAGAGGCAAGCATGGCCTGCTGGTTGCCCGCCAGGAGCTCACCTGGAGCACCCTGCACGACGGCCTCAAGGCGCTGCGCGGAGTCAGTCAGCTGTCTGGCCGGTGCTGCTGAATTGGACCGCGTCGAGGCCAGCACTGCCGCGCGAGCCAAATTGACTTCGTGCTGGATGGCGGTGAGCTCGATCGTGGCCGTCTCGAGGGCCTTCCTCTGTGGTGAGCTTGGACTCGATGTCGGACGCGCTGGCCTTGAGCTCGCCCGCCCCCTTCGTCTTGAAGTTGAGGTTGTCGAGGCTGCGGCGTAGCATTTCGTTTGGCGTGCGCCTCGACTGCTCATCCGCCTCGGCCACTTGCAAGTCCTTCTTGGCTTGAGCGACGAGCGTGGGATCTTCGGCGAGTCCGAGCTTACGTAGGGCATTGAGCGCCCTTCTCGCCCTGACAACAGCATCTCCTGATGTGACCTTCGTGTCTTTGGCGTCGTCGGGCTGGCGTCCACTGCCTGCTGCTCTCGTGCGGCTACGAAAGGGCGGCCTGGACGCTGTGCGCTGCTTTGGAGTGATATTGGGGTCTGGAATGCCCCGCTTGTCGCGCCCGCAACGATAGGAATGAACATTGCAATGGTAATCCCCTGAGAAGCCATGTTGCCTCGTTGCAGCACAAGACCATCTGGGCTCCTTCTGGACTGAGGCTCTCTTTCGTGAGGTGGCCGATCCATCGCCTCCCAGGGGCAAGAGAGCCGTGACGCGAATTGAATATGTTCCTCGCCTGCTGTATCCTCAGAAGCCTGCGACTTGCCGAGCGCTGACGTCGCAAAACACGGTGCCACGCAGGCCAACGTGAACGAGGCGAGGGTGTGTCGGAACGGCCACGCGCTTTCTGTGAAACAGGCGCGGGCCTGGGGGCAGGTGCGATATCGGGCGCCCCGCCGACCTGCCTCCGGCGCGGGGCCGGGGTCGTTGACGATCGGGCTGCTTCCCAAAATGGGCGCCTCGGACCACAACGCCTGAGGAGGAGGAGGAATGAGGAGGAGGACGAGGAGGTGGAGGATAAGGTGGAGGAGTGATGATGATCATGATGATGATGATGAGGATGATGATGATTGGTGATCAATGATATTAGGTTAGATTAGACTCTGCGCTGCGCGCTCAGACCAATCTATCTCAGGACATTGACCTGCTTGGCCAACTTAGTGTGGCCTGGGGCTCGTCCTTTCTCGAGCGCCCTGAGATACTCCAAGCCCGTGCGTGTGGGGGCCTGGCATTCAGACGCAAGTTTGCCCGTGGTGCGGTAGTGGTCGGTTCCGAGCCCTCCACACCTCGAGCAAGCAAAAATACGCTCCTTCAGCGTCCCCACCCCCGCCTCCCACCAACGCATAGTGTGAGAGGGATGCGCAGAGAGGCCTCGCCGACTTGGCCCCACTTCTCGCGGAGCACTCGAAGCTGGGCCAACGATGAGAAAAGGGGTTGCGCGGGGAGCGGAGCCACTTAATTACAATACCCTTTCCCCTCGATGGAGGCTCCGAGGAACATTTACGACAACGCCACTGCCTTCGCAGACGACCATCGACCCTGGAGCTCTTCAGGAGGTGGGCTGTGCAGGGTAACTCTGTGGCCAAATCAAACTTCCTCCTGATTGGTCCTTGGGCGGCGGCTCTGGAGGATTCTCCCTCTGGGCGGTGCGAAGGCATAGAAACCAAAATGCAAGACAAACGGGCGCGGATGGCCTTGGCCTCCGTCTCGAGCTCCAGGAGGGAATCTGCCGCCGCGCTAGGGGCCTGCGCAGCTGGAGAAAACCTATCAGCTAGCTTGTCAGCCAGCTCGTTGACATGAAACAAAGCCTTCAACTCGTCTGAAGCTCGATCGAACTCGGACGCGGTCGCGTGGCTCGCGACCTTCGCAACGAGGACGTCACGGGCCCCCCAGAGCTCTCGGACGAGGTGCCAGAGGTCCCGATTCGCCCTCGGCCTCCATCGGGCCTTCGAGCGCAGACTGAAGACACCTCGCTGGACGTAGGCGCTGTCAGTAACATAAGTCAGGTCCCTGCCTGGGGTTGCCAAAAGGGCCTCCTTGAAGGCAAAATACTCGCCTCGGCTGATTCCCTGGCGCGGGCCAGGGAGGGCCCCACCAAAACCACCAGAAGCACAAAAGGAGCAGAGGCACCTCCCTGGGATCGGCCCCAAAGGCAACATAGACAATCGACCAGGTGATACGACGCAACTTAGCGTGGCTAGAGTGCTTCCCCCCGACGCATCCCCGCTCAGCCAAACCCTCCCGTCCGCGAGAAAGGCCCCTAAAATGTTATGCGGGCTCGCACCTGGCACAGGGAAGCTTGGCGCGTCGACCCGCGGGTCTAGTTGGATCAGCAACTCGTCTGGTGGCTCTGGGATAGCCGCCCATTCTCTGGGGATGAGGCCTCGAAGCCAGTAGCATGGATGCGACTGAGCGCCCTGGGCCGCCTGGTCTTTTAAATGCTGTGTGCCGGCACAGCGGGGAATATCATTATTGGCACTACAGGTCCAGCAGCGGTGAAGGTCGGTCTCGGGCTCAACCTCACAACGGGGACACAGGATAAAATCGACCTTCACCCCCGCCTGGGAGAGCCGAGCCTTGGGCCAGAAACCTGCAGTCATGACCGTGCTGAGGGGACCTCGAAACTTGTTGGAGCCCTTCTTGGCCAACGCACGCATCATTTTTTAAATGTCAGTGGTTTCGGCGCCTTGCTCTAGCCCCCCCCCCCCCCCATTATAATGCGTAGAACCGTGGGCCCAGACGGAGAGCCTCAAGGTGTCTCTGAAGACTTCCAAGAAGGGCTCCCAGTCAGGGTCCAAGTCGACTCACCTCATACTTATCGCCAGTAGGGTGAGTCCACTTCCACTGTCCCTGGGGGCCCCAACCCGCGGAGAGCAAAACAGAAATCGTGCCCGAGATCAGGCCGTTTATCTTCCTCCACTGGCGGTTCTGAGGGGTGGCGCGCAAATTCTTCAAAATGATCGGCCATGCTCTGGCCGCTCTCTTCCTGAAGGCATCTGACGAGGCGAGCATTTCAAACCACAAACTGATGGTGGCTGTGGGCAAAGAGATAGCAGGGTCCTGGTCCCCGTAGTCAATGTGCAAGGCCGTGGTCAGACATCTACCTCGAGCCTTCGAGGTGGCGAAACGACCTAGAGACCTGCGGAGCTGGATGAGGGGCTCGGAAGAGAGGGGGATGACCTTTGGTGCGATAGCCAATCCTAGGGATGTTGCCAGTGGTGGCAATTCTGCGGGCAGCACGGGAGCCTGGCGTGCCACGAGCGATCTGATTCAACTTTCGAGCCTGCCATGATGCTGGCTTTTTCCTCGCGCGATGCTTGGAAGCCTGGTGTAAACGGCGGTGGCCTCTCTCGATGCCGAGGTCCGCAGCGGCTCCGAGATTCTTTACCTGTAGGCCAGCCTGCCTTAACACTGAGGTGAGCTCTGCTGCGAGGACCCTGTCGGAGGCTATAACAGACGACTTGTCCGAAAGCTGAAGACCGTCGGCCGAGACTCCCTCAGAAAACTGTATGGCCGCCTCCGTGAGGGATTTGACAACGGCCCCGCGAGGCCCCTCCCGGCGGAAATTTACATCGTCGACCCAGGATTTGGCGACAAGCCCCTTGGGGAAAAAGGCCCGATGGACCGAGTCCAGGACAGGAAAAAGAAAAACAGCAGCTCCGTTCTTTGCAATCCTACAGCCTGCAAGGACCCCGAGGTGGCCAAGATGGGGTCGCTGCGAGAGGAACGCTCTCTTAAAATCCGCGAGCCCATGTAAAGCTGGGCCGATAGGAGAAGGACCGTGGGGGAGTGCCTTCGGTCCAAGCACCTGTGCATAAGTAGGCCTACATCAAGGGAGTCATACAATTCTTGTTTGTCAAAAAGAATGCTGGCGTGTGAAATCCCGGTGGCATCTGCAGCCTCGTCCATGAAATGTCTGCCAACTGCCGCCCTGAGGGCGCTGATGCCTCGAATGGCCTCGCCCCAGAAACCCGCCTCCCCCTCCAGCCAGTCCCGAGAGATCTGATTACGGAGGAGGCTCCAGAGCCTGGGCAACCAGCACAGAAGGGCGATCGCCCGTTGGCCGCCAGAGTCCTTAGGCAAGGGGCCGATGATAGATGGCAGCAGCTGCCAAGGCCAGGCAATATTTGCTTCCGCTGCGTGGAAAACTTGCAACGGCTCGGTTTGGTCCTGGGGCCCCAGCTCCTGGATGTCCCGAGGGCCGAGGTTCTCGATCCCACGCCCAGTCTGGACAGGGATCTGCCGCAAAGCTTCTTGGAGGTGCTCCAGGGTGAGCGCTGGGAAGGATTCATTTTTGGCAGAGGCGCGGCCTCGCTGGAAGGCCGACTCGACCCTCTGCCACGCCGCGTTCAAATCGGGGGCCGTCCATCTTGCAGCCCATCGGGACCTACGCAGGTCCATCAGCTCGAGAGGCGAACCTGTCACCCCCTCATCAGAAAGCAGCTCCGAAGTGACCTTAGCCTTAGGCTTTGGAAAAGCGGTGGAGGTTTCCAACCTTGCCCGAAAGAGATTCTGCAACCCAAACCTTAAAATCAGCAAATGAAGCTCTGGGTGCCGCCTGCTTGGCCTGGGCCGCATTGGCCCCCGCCGTTTCACGAAGGGTGCGCCGCCCGAGAAGCCTTAGCTGCCGCGGGTCTCGGAGCCAGATCTTCCACGACAGGGCAACAGCTGGCTCTAAGGCCAAGGAGGGGCCCGAGGGGACAGAGTGCGCCCTCTCGGAGAGCCTCAAAATAGCCTCCTCACCCTGTGGCGTGGGGTCTTGGCCCATGTCCGCCTTCCTAGCAGACTGCTCCCCGATGGCCCCAGGGTGGCCACCTCGGCCCGCCAACGGGCCAGCGGGTCCGAAAGCCGAGAAGGCTGGTCCCTTCGGGTCATTTTTGAAACGGTGGGCCCCTGGGTAAAAGCGCGGCCAGGGTAGAACTTTTGCTGCTCCTTAGGCAGCTGGTAGATGTCGCAATAGAAACGTTCGAGCCGATCGACCCAGCTCGAAAAGAGATCACCAAGGGCCGCAGATTGGGTCGAGAGCCTGAAAGCCCAAGAGTCCTGGATGCAACTAAGGATCGGCTTGGCAAAACGGCTGGCGGGGCTCAGGTCACTCCAGCGGGCGTCCTTCTCGGCGTCCGACAGGGTGATCTGCTCGGGCCCCCCTCTCTGCGGCGTCAGGTTGTAGGGGCAGGCCTCCCCATTCTCGATGTGCAAGGGCGGGGTCATGCTCAGCGGGCGTCACGTGTGAATCTTTGGACCAGGTATGATTTGCCAAGGTATTGTTTTTCGATGCCGCTTCGGGCGCCAGTGGGGGCGAGAATGCCGCGCCCGTTGACGAGCGCGGCGTAGCAGTAGCTGCTGGCTGCTGCGGTGAAGCCGTAGGAGCAGACGGGGTAGCCACGTCGAGCTCCTCATCCAAATCTATGTCGCTCAGTATATCCATGCGGTCAAAATCAACTTCGGCCTGGTCCATCAGGCTGCATGTCGGAGGCTGCGGCCCAGGTTGCACACCGATGCCATCCTCTGGCCCTGGGCCATGATCAGGTTCGCCGCAAGACGCGGCCGTGCCAACAGCGCGGGGCGGGTCCAGGGCCATGATCTGAATCACCTCGTCGTAGTTCCTGGGTGGGGGTCCTTTTCCATGCCTGGGTGGGGGTGGTTCTTGTCCAACGCCATCCCCAAGGTCCTGCGAAGGTGCTGTGTGCTCCAGACGGCGCGCTGCTCCCTCCTGTGAACGATTAGCCTTGCGCCTGGATCGCTTGCTGCTGGGGTCAGGGCCCCGCTTGGGCCTTGGAGGGTGCGGGGAACGTCGAGGCTGCGGTAAAATGCGAATTTGTGCCAATCGGGTGCCAACCTGAATCTTGAACCAAATCCCTTTGTGATCCCCTGATGCTTCGTCAGCGTAGCATGTAGGTTCCAGGCCTATAGCAGAATTCGAAACCAAACAGCAATCAAGGAGGTTGTATGGCGCACGATTGCACGTCCAAATGGTATTCGTTGGGCCTAGAACAAAGCCCCCCAGGAGATCCGGCCATTTGGACCGCCTAAGGTCCGACGGTGTCACGTTCCAATCCGCGGCAACAACCCAAGGCATCTGCGAGAGTCTGAGGAAAGCCCCCAGGTTCGTGAGCTTCTCTGCATTGACGCCCATGAGCTCATCCCCAGGCGTGATATAGAGGGCGACAAAAATGAAATCCATGCCCCCCGTGAGCTCGACGGCCACAGGTGCGAAGTCCCAGAAGTCGACGGGGCCGCCACCCTGAAGGAGGCCGTCTAAGCGGCCCGCGCCAATCTGCTGTTCGTCAAAACGACAGAGGTCCTTGAAAGAGTGGCTCTTGATGTGGCGCCTCACCCCAGTGGCGACGCCACCAGCTCTCTTGACTGAACGAAAAGCCCTCGGAGGGGCGACAACTGCTTTCCATGCGTGTTTATCCATGGCATCGACGACGGCGTGGGAATCCTCTGCGTGGGCCTCAGCAAAGCCCACAACATCCGCGACTGAAGCTCCATCCTTGATATCGTTGAGGGTTGGCGGCCCCAGGTGCTGATGTTCCTGAGATAGAAGGCCAGCTCTCGAGAGTCCGAGGCCTTTGCCTGGCCAGCACCGCGGCCTGGCCTGCTGGAGCCCGTGCTGCTAAAGCCCCTGCTTGCCGCCAGCGGGGGTGGGCGCGGCCCTTGAGGCCTCGCGCCTGGCGCGAGCCTCCGCTTGCGTCTTGGCGACGTCCTCGGGCGAAGCCTCTGGGGGTGCTGGCTCGGGGGCTGCGCCTGACGGGTCGCCCGCGGTCGACGCCGCGGCGGACGCGGGCGGGGCCCCAGGGCCAGGCGCAGCAGCGAGGGCGCGGGCCGCCGCTGCGCTGTCCCCGTCAGGCGGGCCCCCAGGCCCCCCTATCGGCCTCTCTCTGCTGAGCTGAGTCGCCACCTGCAGCCATTCCACCAGCTGCGGTGCGACGCCGCTTGTGCGCCATGCGGGCGCGGTAGTCGGCGAAAGCCTGCTTCCTCTGAGCCAGCCCTTGTGCCGAAGGGCCGACCGCGGCGACGATGAGCTTGCTGACCTCGGCGGCCAGCTCGGACTTGCGGCGGTTCCACTGCTCGATCTCCTCCTGCTCGAGTTCGAGGTCGCCGAATGAGAAGAGGTCGCCGTCCTCGAAGCAGACCAACTTGCCCAGGTCCTCGGGCCCCGTGGTCTCGAGGATGGCGGTGAGGTTGATGGCCGCTGGCTGGAGCGGCGGGGGCGGCTGCGCCTCCAGGCTGCTGCGCAGGAGGCGCTGGTGGGCGGCTGCCGTGGCGGCAGCGGCCCGGGCCTTCTGCTGGAGGTCCGCGGACGCCTTGTGCAGCCACTCCTTGCACTCTTCTTCGAAGGTGACAGCTTTGTCGAGGGCCTCCTGGGCCTTCCTAGCTGCAACCGCTGACTGGTGTAACTGCTGCTCGCGCTCGAGTTCTGGTCGAGGCTTCTGAACCTTTTGCTTCTTGTCGGGCGAGGGCGTCTGCAGGGCTGCGGCAAGCGCGCTGAGGTGGGCACCCATGTCGCCCGCTGCCCCAGGGGGCAGTCTGCGCTCCAAAGCGCCGAGAAGTTGCTCGGGCGTAGGAGCCCACGGAGACGACCCGTCAAGGGAGGCGGTGGCGGAGGTGCATTGTCCATCTTGAGCCCATGCTGCGCCCTTGTCCCACGAAGCGAAGGGGCTGGGGGCGGAGTGCGGCGGTCCATAGTCCCATTTACCTTTGCTCTTGCCCTTGCCTGCCGCGTCGTTGGGCGATGGCTTGAGATTGCCTCCGCACTTCCAACGCTTAGTATGAATACGCCAATTCCACTGATAGCGGCAAGCAGCGTGAGGACACGCAACATAGCCCCTCCTGGGCGGTGCCATCCGCCAACCAGTGGCCGTTAGTGAGTGAAGAGAAACGAGAGTACCGAGCGAGTGGACCTCAGTACCGTACACGGAAAGCTGGAAACTGGCGGGGCCGCTGATCCCCAATGCCAAAACTCAATGTCCTCTGAGCCACCGCTACGGACTTGAGCCAAAATGGCTACGGATTGATGATCAATGAGGAGGAGGAGGAGGAGGAGGAGCAGGAGTAGGAGGAGGAGGAGCAGGAGCAGGAGCAGGAGTAGGAGGAGGAGGAGGAGGAGGAGGAGGAGGAGGAGGAGGAGGAGGAGGAGGAGGAGGAGGAGGAGGAGGAGGAGGAGGAGAAAGAGGAGGAGACGCGCGGCTCCCTCCCGCCTGTCTGTTCTGTGCACTGGCGCCTGCGTCTCCCTCGCGCCCTTGATGGGGCCCGCCATCGCGCGAGCGGGGTGCATGAAGGAATCCACTGTGGCTGCGGTGCCGGCCTTTCCATGCTGTCTTGGTCTCCAGGGGCCCGCTTCGGCATGGTGCGCCCTCCTGGCCAAGCCGAGGGAGGCGCAGACACCGACCCTCTCGGCCTGAGATCGGCCCGACCAGGGCCAGCGAGGTGGTCAGCTAACGCCCCCCCGAAGCCCTCCGTAGGTGGCCACGTGTGAGCCCCCCCCACCCCCCCACGATTTCTACATGGGTAGTGGGGGTTCGCTCCGCTCGGGAGCTCCCAGACAGAGTGAACCCGCCCCCCCCCAAGAAATCTCGGGGGTTGGGGTAGGGTTCACACGTGGCCACCGACTTTCGTCGGAGCGGGGCGATGCATTGGAGGTTGGGAATCGATGCGCTCCCCCCTGAGCATCAGAGCCCGTTTTTGTATTATTCGCGGTGGCGCCCGTGACCGCCCCCCCCCACCCTGATCACGTGACGGTTCGCACCGGCGCCGTGAAAAATTTGAACATTCCTAGGCATTGCGAAACGGGTCGTCGGCAGTCTGCGAAGATCTGAAGAAGCCCGCGGCAGGCGCGGATTCTCTCACATAGTTACACAACGAGCCCGCTGCAGGTGCCGACGTTTTCGTCGAAGCAACGTGCGTAGGTTGTGGGTGGGTCGCGGGGTGGGTCGCGGGGTGGGTTGCGGGGTGGGCCGCAGGGTGGGTCGCGGGTGGGTCGCAGGTGGGCAGCGGGTGTATCGCGGGAGGAGGACGAAGAGGACGACGGCACCAACAGCAACAACAACAGCAACAACAACAACAACACCAACAATACGAACACCAACAATAACACCACCACCAACACCAACACCAACACCAACAACGCCACCACCAACACCAACAGCACCAGCACCACCACCAACAACACCACCACCAACAACAGCAACAACACCAACAGCAACAACAACATCAGCAACACCACCAACAACAACACCACCAACTACAACGACAACAACACCAACATCACCAACAACAACACCACCGACAACAACCACAACACCAACAACAACACCGACACCAACAACAACAGCAACAACGAAAACAACAATACCACCACCAACAACATCAACAGCACCACCACCAACAACAGCAACAACACCAACAAACAACAGCAACAATAACAATCTCAACAACAACAACAACAACAACAGCACCAATCTGACACTGTTCGCTCTTATCTGTTCGCTTGCCATTCAACACGTATGTCCCAAACCCTCGATGGTCGCCTTCTTCATCATCAATCGTACCCTCTTGGGGGTCATCTTCCAAACCAGCCGCGTGTATTTGGCGCAGCTCCTAAAACAGGGAAAACAGGACGGATAGAAGGAACAGACATGGGGGAGGCAGAAGGATGGAGCACGAGAGAGATTAGCAGGATGGGAAGCTAGGAGCAAAACGCACGTGGCATAACCAGACGGGCAGATCGGGCGGGTAGATCCTAACGGGCGGGTCGGGAAGGAGGGCCCAAGCGGCTGGGTCGAGCGAGCGGGTTGCTGAAGCGCGAGTCCTGCATGAACCGCGTTGAAGTCTCGAGCGATAGCGCGATGCTCGAGTAAATCGTGAAACGTGCAAAAGCGAGTGTGATTCCTGAATGTCGAGGGCGCGGCGTCTGAATACATCGCAAGGAATTACCACGCGGGAGCACGAATCCTGCGTACATTGTGATGGAATCCCACACGAGAGCGCGATTCTGAATAGATTGCGAGGAAGTATCAGGCAGGACCCGCTGTTGTGGTACTTCGGTATGAAGCAGGCCAACATGAGGCGCAAGACTTCCCATTGTTAATTACCCTGCGACGTGCCCAACCCACGTGCATCAAATGGCAAGAGGAGTATGCCAACATTAGCAGGAACAACGACAGTGTAGACGCGGCGATTCGCTGTGCAAGCTACATGGGGTGCGCATGCGCTGCGCGATTCACAGGACGACGATCGAAAGAACGAGGCTTGAGGCCCCAGGATCGAAGAAGAACGGGCACGGGAACGAGGGGTAGGAGAGGGATGGAATGGAGGGCGGGGGGGGGGGGGGGCGAAAAGGCCATCGCGGAAGCAGCAGCATGCGTGGAGAAGGTGCGGCGGGGGATAGGACGACGATGTAAGTGGCGGGAGGAGACAGAAGACTGCCGCGTTTTTCAAGTGCGAGCTAAACCCGCAGCGCTGCCTGCGCCATGTCGTCGCAGAGTTCCACATGATAAAACTTGTTTAGGGTGCAAGGAACGAGCGAGGCGTAGCCCGCCCGCTAGCTTCTCCGCCTCCTTCCCGCGCATTTCAGCGCGGGAGCTGAACGCTCGCAGGCGCGCCGCCAGGTCTGCGGGCGGCCCGCGGGAAAGAAACTCAAGGCCGGGGTCGCGTATCATCAATCGGTTGTCCATCGTCCAAAGTTGCACTGGCGACGTACTGGTTGAACGCGGAGCGAGCAGCATCACGCGCGTGCCTGAACGCCACGCAGGTACAGTGCACGCGCGATTGGGACTTCAGGTCGATCACGCGCGTCTCCACCAGGCTTGGCAACACCACGCGACTGAGGATCTCACTGCGGTCTGCCATGCTGCTGTCCGCGAATGCAATGCGCTGCCTGCAAGTAAGGCGGCGGCGTCCACTTGTCTCAGAAGATGTTCCCGCGGGCCCGAAGGGCGACCGCCAGCTCGAGCCGCGGCGCCGGCAGGCCAGATAAGGATCATGCAACAGCAAAGACGATGACAGAGCAACGAGGTATCGGCGAGTGCATGACCGGCCTCCGTTTCCTGCACTTCTTTCCTGTAGTTCCCCTAGCTCATCGAGCTCAGCACATGTTTCTGCGGGTCCGAAGGACGACCGCCAGCTCGAGTCGCAGCGCCACGTGGCACGAACCGCAGAACAAGGGCACGCGAGTATTGCTCGTGGTCAGAATCTGAGTCCCCGTGGTGCCTCACTCCGCTGGCCACCCACCAGCAGCCCTCGAAAGTGGCGACAGTTTCACAGATCGCAGCCGCCCAGGGGTGGCGAGGTCCAATTTGGCATTTTCACCCACCCAGTACAGCGTTTCGTGGCCCCATAGGGAGTTCCACCGAAGCCTCCAGTGGGACCGTCCGCATGCGTCCTGGAAGCCCATTTTGGCATTTTCACTTACCCAGTGCAGCGCTTCGTGGCCCCATAGGGAGCTCCACCGAAACCCCCAGTGGGACCGTCCGCATGCGCCCCGGAAACCTTACTTGACACACCACTCACCTAGAACAGCTTTCCCCCCCACCCAGTGCAGCGCTTCGTGGCCCCATAGGGAGTTTCACCGAAGAAGATTTTCACAATTGCGGTACCCACAACTGCATATGTTGGTGTTTGGTTCATTCGCCTGGATAATTTTAACATGTTTTTTGCTTCTCGCGTTTTCGAGCTTCCATCTGTCCAAGAGCGCCGAAGAGCTTCCCAAGGACCGCCCCAAGACACCCCAGAGACTTCAGGATGGCCCCAAGACGGGCCAAGAAGGCTCCAAGATTGCCGAAGAGGCGCCCAAGACAGCCCCAGACCACCCCAGAACAGGCCCAAGATGGGCCCAAGAGCGGGAGCAGAAGGCTTCCAGAGACCTCCGAGAGGCCTCCAGGACCACCCAGAGGCCCCCAACACACCCCCGATCCCTGAGAGGCCCCAAAAAGACCCCGAAGAGGCTCCAAGAACAGCCCAAGAGAGCTGCGAGAGCCGTCCCGCGAGAGAGCCCAAAGAGGGTAAACTCGTTGATTCCCCATGGTTTTTCTAATGTGTTTCGCCTTCTCACGTTTCCCCGCTTCCAGCCCTCGAAGATCGAGGATTATTCAAAACGAGTACCCAACGCAGGAGGGTTGGGAAATACCCTGCGACGTACCCAACCCAATGGTATCAAGTGGCAAGAGGAGTAGGGACACATTAGCAGGATCAATGACAGCGCGTGCGCGGCGATGTGTAGTACAAGCTACATGTGATACGTAATGTTGCACGTCTGTCAGGACAGCAATCGATAAGACGAGGAATATGTCTCAAGGCTTGTTAACAATAACGGGGGCTGGATCGAAGGACAGGAGATTGACGAACCTAATAGGAAGGGGCGATGAGCCATCGCGGCAGCAGCAGCAGCGTGAATGCATAGGGTGACAAGAGGACTACGGCGGTGATGATACAAGAGGTTGGAGGAAGCAAGAGACTGCTTCGTTGTTGCAGGAGCTCGAACAACGCATGCCTGCTGCCTGATCACAGGATCAAGCATGCTTATATCGAGTGCAAGAAGCGAGCGAGACCCAGCTCTCTCGCAAGCTTCTCTGCCACCTTCCTGCACGTTGCAGTGCGGGAACTGAACTTCTGCTGTTTTCTCCGCCAGGTCTGCTGGTGGGCCGCGGGCAAGAAAGTCAAGGCCGGGGTCGCGCACCATCAATAAGTTGTCTATCGTCGTCGCCCTGCGCAGCATCACGTAGAGGTGCAGCCATAGAGCGGCCCCCCAGGGACAGCGCTGCAGATCGCAACTGCCCAGGGATGGCGAGGTCTAATCTGAATCTGGGTGGTGCCTCACTCCGCTGGGCCTACCCGCAGCCCTCGAATG